TCAAAGTGGGAATTGCTCCATCATGTTTCAGTAATAGCCTTTGTGTGAATCGGCATTGAACTCGTGTAGATTCTGGAAGCTGTCTTCTGAAAAATGTGCAGCACAGACAGCTACATTAGGATTGTTATTGTCAGGAACAGAATTACAAATACATTTTAACCATTGTTCACGAAGTACAGCATCCGTAGGAAGGACGAACACAGAAGACCTGTTAGCGGGGTGAAAATAACACAGTTTCGACGGCATGGCTACAACTTCCTCTTCTCTAAAGCCGCGCAACATGGCCCCGCCCTCTTTGTTGCATGTTCCCGGGGGCGAAGTTTATGTAAATTTTTAAAGTGGGAATTGCTCCATCATGTTTCAGTAATAGCCTTTGTGTGAATCGGGCATTGAACTCGTGTAGATTCTGGAAGCTGTCTTCTGAAAAATGTGCAGCACAGACAGCTACATTAGGATTGTTATTGTCAGGAACAGAATTACAAATACATTTTAACCATTGTTCACGAAGTACAGCGCATTAAACTGCCAGAATTTTAAAAGACATATCTATATAATATCTCCGTTTGCATAGAACTTTCAGCGCCGTAACTTTGCAGATATTGTTTATGCTTAAACAGCAACATTACACACTAACTAACGTTAAAAAAGTGAGATCGCAATCAACCACTCCTTTAACGTTAAACATCACTTAGAACACATAAGGTGTGTTTCAAATGACGTACCATACATAAAATATGTATTCTACCGTCAAGTGTATGACTTTAATATTATTTCGTCATCCAGCATCTGACAGCACCCTTAAAGATCCCCTTCAATTATGTGTGCGTGTTTTTTTTTGATAAATGCATCATCTGAATATTTGAAGTGCAATTCTTCTTAGAATTTTTAGGGTGAAAACACCACACAAAATGGCACAGAATAGTGCATAAGTACACAAATTATGATGCACCTTTGGGTGTATTGCAACTGCATTGCAAATGCTACTTAAATACTAAATGCTACTTTTAAAAACACAGAAACTATATAGCAATATACTAAATAGTACTAAGAACACATTAGCAACTGCAAAGCAATATGCTAAGTATGACTTAGAACACTTTAACAACTGAAACCACCCAAAACACCTTCGCACCATCATGGCAACAAGTTTTGCACAAGACAAGCACAGAAAGTGTTGTGAAAATCTTCAGAAAATGTAAAAATATAGTTGACTTATATAGGAATGGCCTTTTCTTAGATTTATTTGATTTCAGTGCATTTTGTGATCTAGATCTTTTAGATCAGGGGTAGGCAAGTTCGGGCCTAGAGAGCCACTGTCCTGTAGAGTTTGGCTCCAACCCTGAAAAATATATTATACCCTTACCTGCCTATAGCCTTAGTAATTCTGAAGACATTGATTAGCTCTCATTAAATGTGTCTAGCCAGCTTACCCTGTTAGAAATGTACATGCACCATACTGAGATGAAGAGTCTTATGTGAGAGATCATGTGCTTGTTTTGGCTGTAGTGCATTGTATGGTTTTTATACTGTACTTTATAGAGTCCAAAAATGCAGAGCGATGGACTACACAATAAAATCTGCCTGTAATCATTCACTTCCTGTCCGTGAAAAGGTTGTTTGAGGACAAAACCTGAGAGAGATTAATTCTGTTGTATATCAAACTAATATGAGTCAGTTGTATGCCTCTATATAGTATACAGTGCCAAGTATATTATTGCATGGACTAAAGGAACAAGACAGACAATGTCTCTTCCTGTTTAACACACATTCACAATCATTTTCCGTTGAGCCATAACCCTGCCCAAGGGACTTTGTGTGTGTGTGTGTGTGTGTGGACAGCTACTAACGTTTTGTTGATTATGTGTCAGGTATAATCACAGAATGCATAATGCACAGTTATTCATGCAGGATTCAATTTTAATCCAGCCACACTTTGAAATGACAGGAAATGGCATCATCAGGGCGCAGCTTAAAAGAAAGCCCCCTCTGAAGATGAGTCATGAGAAAAATGGTCATTCTCTCCTCTGGCTCATGAGAAAAAACATAGCAGTTCAAAACAACTGTATGTTCTGAGCCGGAATTTACAGTATCACATATCCAAAAAGAAAAAAACAAACTTCGCTCAACCACTCAAAAATGAAACAAATTCTTGGCAGGCCTCTTTTCTTTATCCAAATGCAAGGGAGGTACTGTAAAACAGGACCATCAGCTTCCATCCTTTCCTGATGAACGGAGGTCAGTTTTCCTGTGTGTTGGAAGAAAATGGATCCATGTGTGCTGTTATGATAAGCATGTCACTGAATAGCATGACGTAAAACGCAGAGGTATAGGCCTATACTGGACACCTATGTGAGACAGTGGATGTCCTGAGAAACACTGGACCTGCCCTACTGAAAGAACTGAATTCCCACCTGCTCATTTCATTGTACAGAAAATATTTTCATTTTAATTATAGCTTAAGTTTTAGTATTTTTTGTAATTTAAAATTTTTTTTTTTTAAAGTATTAATTTATTTTATTTTAGTGATTTTAGTACTTCAGCTTCCAACTTATTTTATTCCTGTTAACTGCCAAGACAACACTTATAATTTTTATTTACATTTTTTTTAAGTTTAATTTTTGTATTTCATATCAAATTTATATATTGTTTTATTTGAGATTAATTTCAATAAATGAAAATTATTTTTTAAGTTTTAGTTGCACTGCATTTGAATTAAGATCTTCTTGTCTCTAACAATTATTTTGCTGCCTTTTGCAACCATCTTGATGCACGTTTAAGTTTTCAAGATATAGAGGGATATGTGTCAGGGATAGACTCTTAATTTTAATTTTTTGTCCCACAGCTGGCTGCATATCTGACGTTTATTTCTCATGAATAAGGCTGCCAATAGAACTTCCAACACTGATCCTCTCCCACACTGAACTAAGATCCAGCTGTGAATTGGATGCCTTGAAGTTTGTGTGACAAAAAAGCAAGATTTTTTTAAAGGCCCTTTGCATCCATCCAGCATTTTTGGCTCCACAGAAAGAAAATTTGCTAAAATATGATTTCAGAGTAGTTTCATAGAGATGCCAACAAAAGGTTCCAGTACGTAGATTAGCTATACTGTTTATTTTGCTAATGTGCCATGGGCACCTATGCCAAATCTTACTAGGTCAAACTACTGTTTCAGTCATGAAATACCGGTAATCACTGAGCTTCAAAACCATGTGCTAAAATAAACCACTTGGAAAATACTTAACTTACACATGTCCAATATTTTGCCAGCACCAGCTTAAAAATGATGGGATGTTGTTAACAAACAGCAGTGCCAAGGGGCCATGCCGTTTTACAAAAGAGAGAGTGTGTGTGGTTTAATGTTTGTACAGACCAACTGGATGGAATAGCAACCACCTGCTCAGAACTTAAAGGCACAGCGCTGCTGTTGGCTAGTAAAATGACTGCTGTGTCTGTGCATGACTCAAGTGTCTAGAAATTTCCTGGGGATTAGTACAGACAAATGTCCTGAGCGACCAAGCATACCATTAGATTACAGTGAATTTTTTCTATCCTTTATCTAACAATTTGTGCACTTAGCTTTCTATGAATCTGACATTAAATAAAATGCTGTTTATTAAAAACACATCTGTTTCGTATGCGTGTTGCGCTGTCATATATACATATACACACACATATATATATATATATATATATATATATATATATGTATGTATGTATTTACCTAAATGTTTACATTCGTAATATTTCTGTTATTCGCTTAGTAACTTACTTCCATCAGTAAAATCGGTTCGGTTCAGTCAAATCTCGGTCAGCTCGTTATTCGCTCAATTCAACATGACAGAGGTTTTTCTCGGTTTAATGAGCCAGCAAATGAAATAAACCATGCTCAAAAGAGACCGTTCCGGTTTAATAACTCGGTCACGGTGAGATTTTTGCTCCCGGTCAGACCGATTCAATAATGACACAATTGTTTGTGAACCAATTCAGCCGATTCATTGAAAAGATCCGACTCAAATGAAGGAACTGGACACAACGCTAAAACCCATATTGCGCTGTAGTCAGGTGATGATGATGTTCATTCAGGCGTGAGGACTCTGAAGCTGCAGCAATGTTTACGAAACATATGAAGCGCGTAAGATCAGGTATTTCAAAAAATATAAAACCAAAAATTGTTCTTATTTCGAACAGACGACTACTCTTTATGTTTATTTCCCCACCAGCGCAAAATAAACGTTAGTTTTAGCGTCTTTGCACGTTACGGATCGACCATGTGAACGCTAGTAACATTTTAAACCGGTAGAAAAAGTTAAACATCTTCATACTTTCTGTACCAGTGCTCTCAGGGAAACAAGTTCCGTTTATCTTTACTTGATTCCCTCTAACTCTAGCACGTTCTATTCTATTTTAATTCTACTTTATCTACATTTATCTTCTTTTTTTATTAAAAAAATATTTATATTTTTCTATTCTATTTGTTCTATTCTATCTACTTGTTTTTCTCTCTCTCTCTGTGTGTGTATAATATATATATACACACACACACACACACACACACACACACACTTTGCTACGTGTACTGCGTTAGGCTAACCGAGACTTGTCATCTGCACTTATATATTGTTGCTCTTTTGTTAGTTTTGACTGCTTTTATTGTCCTCATTTGTAAGTCGCTTTGGATAAAAGCCTCTGCTAAATGACTAAATGTAAATGATTCTATCATTCTGCCTTATTTTATGTGAATAAGGCCTATATATTTGTTTTATTAATGGTATTTAACTCCTGTTGTTCTTGTTTAGTTGGCCTAATTTTGAAAATAATTTTCTGTTAATTGATTTTGTTTTAGATTTAGTCAACACAAATTCTAACTAAACTAATTATTTTTAGTTATGTTTAAGTATAAATCAATGTATGTAGTTATCCATTTTTAGAAGTTAGTCTGTTTAAAGCTTTGAAAGTTGCCTGATTTTTATGCATGTGTTTTTATTTATATTTATTTACAGCGCTTAAGAGGTCATTTGAAGTGGAGGAGGATACATCCACAAACCCATCCCCTCTTTCCCGAAGAACAACCAATCCTTTGCGCTCCTCCACCTCTTCTACAAGCAGCCGTTTCCACGACATGAGATCGCTCAACTCCGAGTCCACCTCCAGGCACACTTCAGATTCCTCCTCCTCCAACCAGCGCTCTCCAAAATCCAGCCTGAGGCGCGTGGAGTTATCGGGGGGCCGCGTCCCAGAGACTGTGTCACGCAGGACAGAGATCTCCATCGACATCTCCTCCAAGCAGGTGGACAGTTCTCCCAGTCCCGGTATTGCCCGCTTCGGCTTAAAGAGACCTGAGGTCTCGCTCCAGAGTAAAGCCACAGATGGGTCTGTTCACAGAAGGGCTGAGGGTAACCACAGCAGACCCCAGGAACCTCCAACACCCCCTAGGAGAGCCGACCCACCAATATCCTCGTCCCGGATCCCTGAGCTGTCCCAGAGGCGAGCAGAGCCTCCCAGCCCTGTTGAGATCTCAGCTCCATTTAGACGGGCTGAGGTGAACATTAACAGACAGCTGGACACACCGTCTCCTGCAAGGGAGTCAGAGAACAGCTTCATCTCAGCAGCCAGCATCACTCCTACCTTCAATGAATACAAAACCCCTCCATCAGTACATGAACCCCCCGTAAGACCTCTAGAGAGTAAGTCACATGTGCTTTTTTCATTGCTAAATTTCTGACTTGCTAGATGCCTACATGATCTGGATCTGATGATGTGCGCTTGGAGTGTCTGCTGTTAAATGTTCAGTAGGGCTTATGAACCTGAGTAAATATGTGACTATTTTTCTAGTTAAATACAGATTTTTTAAAATGACAAATTGTTATCAGCATAGCAATTTGAGCAAAAAAGAGACATTTCAGCATTACTTTCTATAGATCAACAACAAATGTGTTCACATGATTTTGCTCTTTAAATTAGTGCAGAATTTTAACCGTTTGTTAGTAATTTTGCATCATAATTTTCATTTTGACAATTTTCAAAATCATAAAACCTTCTCTTTGTTTCCATGTAGTGGTGTGTGATATTGACACAAATTTTTGGGTGGATTTTGTTGATAACGATAATTAGACAGCATTTCACCAAGTGTGTATTTGTACTGGTATCTTTTTAGACCTGGACAGTACACCCCTATTTTCAGGTTCAAGTTAGATTTTAAATTCCAGATTTTCCATAGTTAGTGAAGACCTTTGAACACCACTTTATATATGGTCATTTCTTTTAAAATCGAGGTTCGCTGAAGCTTTGTGTTTTGAGAAGCAGGGACCCATGAGAACATCATCTTCCCAAGCACACTTCAGGTTGAATAGTGATCAAATCATACAGAATCCAGCATATGGTAATGAGAAAAACAGAACCTCCTCATAGGAGGGAATGTTGGAGCTTTATCATTGAGGGAGGTCAACAGATCTGATGCATTGTTTTAGCACTGGATCAACACTGAGATTATCAGGATTCCTTTTAGGCAGTAATAAAAATATGAAAATGTTCCATATAACCCCATCTACTCTCTCTCCACTCAGGGGTGTCAGGCTGTTTATGTGATAAAAAATTTTGTGTTGCTGTTTTAAGGTTGAATGTAACCCAAGCAATGGCTATTCTTGCGCTCGTACTGAAAAGGCCTATTTTTTGGGACAGTATTGTTTCTGAGTTTAACATTGACTCCGAAACCATATTCCAAAGTCATGACTAAAGACTGTGCATTGAGCCAATCTAGGAGAAGTACAGTGAAGCTTTAAAGCACCAAATAAAGATGGAAATCTTGGATACAGACACAATAGTTTTCCTCAATCTTTTGCGCTCTCTCTCTCTCTCTCTCTCTCTCTCTGTCTCTTATTAGCTTTCTATATTACTCTCAAGATTAAAAGGAAAGTTCACCCAAAAAGAAATGTCATCATTTACTCACCTTCATGTCATTCCAAACTCAAGACTTTTATTCATCTTCGAAACAGTGGCTTCATCCAAGTCCTCTGAAAAGATATGATCAATTTGCATGATGGACAGATTTAATGACTTATTCATATAAACATTTATCAACAATGCACATGCATTGAGCACATAACCTCAAACCTCATTGGTTCGTGAATCAAGCAAGCATGATTGACCCTCTGTTTTTGAAGCATCAATGTTTTGGATGCATAGCCTTTCAATGAAGGAACAGAAATCTCCCGGGTTTAATTAAAAATATCTCCATTTGTGTTTTGAAGACAAATGAAAGTCAAAGGTTTGAGGCGACATGTGGGTGGGTAAATGATGACCGATTTCATTTTTGGGTGAACTGTACCTTCACCCAATTCAAAGATTTGCTATTTCTGGTGCTTATGTTTTCTATTAGTTATCAAGCGCTTCCATTACTAAGCATCTGTTTCTTATTGGTGTTATTGGTCCAAGGTGTCCCCCATCGGATTCCACATTTGCATATGAAAGATAAATAAGTCTCTCTGGCACAATTGTGATGAGTGAGATTGTGAGAACACAGCCTTACAGCCTATAGGGGCTTGTTGGTTTGCGACACATGCGTGCAGCTGGTGGGTGTGTCTCCAGATCTGGAGTTCATAAAATGTGCTGCATAAAAATAGACACCGTTTAAATTTTAGCTTTTACACTGTATACAGGAGACAGTGTGGTAAACAGCGTGGAGAACATGAATGGTTGATGTCATCTGACATGTTTGCCCAGAAATTCTTAATTTAGTGCATTGAAAAGCAAGTGTATGCTTTAGGCATGGGCCGGTATGAGATTTTGACGGTATGATAACCTTAAATTTGAAACCGTGACATTTTCAAATCGGGGTATACCTTGAAACCGGTAATCAGCCCATGCCTACTTCAGACACAACATTTTTCTCTATTTTCTGTTTTTGTGAGTGTTGTTGTCCTTCTTTGGCCTTAAAGGATTTTACTTTTCTTGAGTATATGAAATAAGACTCTAAAAGAGACGAAAAACCTTTTCAGGATGTGATCCAGGAAGCCTGCGGCACATTTGGGTTTAATTAGTGTTCCTGCACAGCCCCAGTGTGAATGTAGTGAGCAGAGCCCTGCTAACACAGCCCAGATAAGGAGACGCAGAGAGAGATAAAGCACTTAGTGCCAGACAGAACAGAGTCTCTGTGAAGTGTCTATAGAAGTGGGAAAAAAAGAGTGAAAAATGAACTGACCTCTGAGTAGGGTTTTTACAGATAATAGAAAAAAATACTCCAGTGTTAATAATTTAAAGAGGTGTGATATGAATTGTAAAACATAATGCATTGATGCATGCGATTCATTAAACAAACAAACAAAAAACATTGAACACAGAATTTTACATTTATAACTTCTATAATTTACCTTCAAATCAAATATAGATGAGATGTTTAGCATTTTTTATTTTTTTTCTTGTCTTTGCTTTTTTTATTTAATTTTTTTTGGAAGAAATGAATACTTGTTTTCAGCAAAGATGCACTATACTAAATAATTTAAAAGAGATAGTAAAGATCCCGATAACTTAAAGATTTCTATTTCATGTAAATAGTTTAATTTCATAAGTTGTCTATGGCTGTGTGTTGCCTTGATTTAGGCCTAGTACCTATATACTAATAACAGAGACTGGTGTCATACCTCTGATATTACAACTGTTAGTCCAGGTCACACTCTTCATGAGTTTGGAAAGAAAGCTTTACTGTTTCTTCTGATACGTGACCTTTAACAGATTATGAAGAGTGCTTACTCACTAGTTTGTGGTTTAAGTCTGTGTTACTCATGAACAATTTGAGCATTTATTGCTTTAATGGTGACTGCTGGATGACTTGGTTGTGGCCTGTAGGGATGAGAGGGAGTTGAGCTTTCACAATGAACCGAACAGAATGACACATTTACCAGGTGACCGTCTGTTTCTGCCATCCTGCTGTATGAATTTGCCCTGTGAATGTTTGTGGGAAAATTCCTTCAGATTCAGATCACCCCAAAAGAAGTTGTGAGGAAAGAGTTTCATCACAAAAGCTTTTTGTCATTGAAAGTTTCATTGTTAACCATTTTGATTGTACAATGTGTGTACAATGATTAATTTTCCAAAAAATGTTTCCATCTTAAAGTGGATCATCTTTCTTAAAGGGGTCATGACATGTTTTTTTTTTTTTAAATGTTCCCTGAGGTGTAATTATAATATTACTAAAGTTTTTTTGGATGGAAAAACATTCAAAATTGAGTGATTTATGACCTTTTTCCACCCTGTTTCTCATCCTCTGGCTGAAAGTCAGTCGGTTTTGGGGTGTTTTCGACTGAAACAGTCGGTTTTGGTGTGTTTTCCCTTTAAAGCCCCATTCACACCAAGAACGATAACTATAAAGATAACGATATTAGCGTCCACACCAGCGAACGATATCGTCTGTTTATTCTAAGCGCACATGCGTCTGCCGCTTTAAATTCTTGAGCTCGTTACAGCAGGATGGATTCTGATTGGCTGTCAAGCGTTTTATCGTTCATCAGCTGGAAAAAAATAGTTTTGAAAGTGATCACAACGATATCGTTCCTCTGTATCGTTATCGTTATAGTTGTGGTGTGAACTATGCTATCCTTTAATATTGAGAACGATTTTTAGAACTATATATTTATCGTTATCTTTATAGGAAAAAAATAGTTTTGAAAGTGATCACAACGATATCGTTCCTCTGTATCGTTATCGTTATAGTTGTGGTGTGAACTATGCAATTCTTTAATATTGAGAACGATTTTTAGAACTATATCTTTATCGTTATCTTTATAGTTATCGTGCTTGGTGTGAACGGGCCTTAAGAGGTCAGTGTAACCGCCCACTTTTATGATTCGCTAACATCCACCCTCATTACCACCATTACTGCTTTAAAAATAGTTTTTACATGAAATACGTTACTTACAGTTTGCGGCGTCGTTGTTGGGTCCAGAACAGTTGGCATGGCCTGAACTTTGAGCAAAAGTATTTTGCCAAAGCCAGCATCATACTGTGATTTGTTCTCAAAACCGTCAACGGTGAAATGTACTGAACACAAGCGTAAATTAGCACTGAGGAGACTGAGACGTTCACTAAAAATAAACTGAATCTAGTGCTGGGTGGTACACCGGTTCATACCGACTACTGGTGTTTATTTTTGTTATGATATGAATTTTTAAAATACCGCAATACCGGTGTACGACACTGTTTGAAAGGGGTCCCTTTTCAGTGTTGCATTGGTAAGGGAACAGCTGTATGTGTTACTAAGCGTGAAAGTTCCGAAACTGAAGCTGTAGAACTAATAGAACGTGATGACACAGAAGAACTCATCCACAATATCCACACTGACCGCCACAAATATCCACCGCCCCCTGCCATCAGCTCCCGCGTCTCACACACACACGAGCACAACTTTAGCACTAGATTTAGCAACTTTCAGACCCTTTTAGCGGCTTTTTTCCATAGAATATTCATACTGACAAACCTAGCGACTTTTTTGGATAAACCTTAGCTATAGTTCAGTTGGAAGATTTCGCCAGTGCTGTCCCGTGAACGCGAGGTCTGACTTTCCCGGAGAAGTGTCACCTCTCTCGGCGTCTGTTCTGTGCAGTGAGCGGCAAACGACTGTGCCTAGGTGATGTCACCTTGTCCCTCTGATCCAAAACAAACCGTTTTCTGAGGATTATTAAAGAAATGCTTT